CTTCAAATCCCAGAAGGCCCCAGGGCAGCTGTGGGAAGTTGACAGCCATCCATTGCTGACTGAGGAATTGTGGGAATTGAAGTCCACGCATTTTGGCTGGGGAATTCTGGGAGTCGAAGTTTACCCATGCTGCCTATGGAATTCTGGGAGCTGAAGTTTCATGGTGGCTGGGGGATTCTGGGAACTGAAGTCCAATCATCTGAAAGTATGCCGGCTTGATAATTCTAGGAATTGGGGCATTCTGGTAGCTGAAGCCCAATCCTCTTAAAGCACGCCAGCTGAGCAGGTTGGAGAAAGATCCATCTGGAAGGTTTAGCAGGGACAAAGTTGGGATCTCTTCAGCGAAGTTGCCCCTTTCCCCTTCAAACTTTTGGGGAAAGCGCAGACCACGTCTTCCTTGGAGAACAAATCCACGTTGCCTTCTTGGGCCCAGTTGAAGAGAGCCTGCAGGCGGCAGTCACATGCCCATGGGTTGCCGGAGAGATCGAGAGTGAACTCGGAAGACACGTTGACCAAGGGAGCCTCCAGGGAGGTGATCTCGTTGGCGGAGAGATCCAGCCGCTCCAGGTTCTTCAAGGACCGAAAGAGCCCAGGTGGAACGTGGGTCAGGCAGTTGTTTCTCAGGGAGAGGATCCACAGCGTGGGAGTCCCACGGAAGGTGCCGGGGGCGATAGAGCCGACCGGGTTGTTTTTCAGAGTTAAAACCGTTAGAAACGTGAGGCCTCGGAACATCTCCGGAGAAAGGCAACGGAGGAGGTTGGAGGAAAGGTCCAGGGACATCAACAGGGTCAGTTTACGGAAGCAATCGGGCGGGATCTCCTTCAGCTGATTGTGATCAAGGCGCAGGATCTTGAGTTCCTCCAGGGTTTCGAACCAGGATGGGCGCAGCTCAGTCAGCTGGTTTGAACCGAGGGATAAGTAGGCCAGGCTACCGACGGGCGCGAAGAGATCTGCAGGTAGATCTTCCAGGAGATTTCCAGAGAGGTCCAGGGAGTGCAGTGCTGGGAGGTTACGGAAGAGGCCGCTTGGAAGGGTCTTCAGCTGGTTGCCGAGCAGATAAAGCCCCTGGAGCTCTGGGAGACCCTGCAGGGCCTCCGCACCCAGGTTGGAGATCTGGGTGGACTGAACGGTGATTGTCTTGGTTTCACTGGGGAAGC